AAAATATTTGCAAGCTATGCATTTGACAAAGGCCTAACATCCAGGATTTGTAAGGAACTCAAATGAACTGATGGGGGGATAAAAAAACACCTCATAGCCCCACTAAAAAATGGGTAAAGAATATGAACAGACGTTTCTCAAAGGAAGACATACAAGCAGTCAACAAAAATGTTCAGCTTCTCTAATCATCAGAGAAATACAAATCAAAACTACAATGAGATACTGCCTCACATTGGTCAGGATGGCTATTATTAAAAAGTGAAAAAACAACAGGTGCTTGTGAGGCTGCAGAGAAAAAGGAATGCTTCTATACTGTTGGGGGAAATGTAAGCTAGTTCATCCTTTATGGAAAGCAGTGTAGCAATATCTCAAAGAACCAAAAAGTCGAGCTACCATTCTACCCAGAAATCCCACTCCTGGATATATAACCAGAGGAATATAAATTGCTCTACCAAGATGACAATTGTACACATATGTTGAGGTAATTAACATGTCAAAATGGCATATTTTGGGGTGGCATATCCTTAACTCCTTCACCTATTATATCTCATGTGACTTTATTTTTTTTTTTTGAATCCAAGTCTTACTCTGTCACCCAGGCTGGAGTGCAGTGGCACATTCACAGCCACCCCACATTGACCCGCTGGACTCAGATGATCCGTCCGCCTCAGCCTTCCAAGTAACCAAAACTACAGGCGTGCCCTACCACACCTGGCTAGTTTTTTGATATATTGTAGAGATGTGGTCCCACCAAGTTGCTCAGGCTGGTCTCGAACCCTTGGGCTCAGGCAATCCTCTTGCCTCAGCCTCCCAAAGTGCTGGGATTACAGGTTTGGGCCACTGTGCCTGGCCTTCTTGTGACTTTAAACCATCATGACATCTCTAAATCTTTTTTCAAACTTAAACCACCTATATAAAATTACTTGGAGGAGAGGCAAAGATGGTCAACATATTCTCTTTTAAACAACAGACCTAAGACTGCTAGAGGACAAAAGTGGCTGCCATCTCTAGGGACTCCACCTCCCCCCACTCCTTCCTCCTCCACCACCTCCATAATGGCTCACAGCCTAGGGAGTAGTACCTGAGGGTCATGGGATTTGCTTTATAGATAACATTTATTTTAAAAACCAAGAATGGTATTTAAGAATTTTTTGACTTTGTACTCTGGTGGGCCACCATCGTCTCCCCACCCCTCCAACCCCTTCACTGCCCCCCAACACCAGGAAGTCTTCTACTGGTTCTAATGAGAGAGGAGTAAGCAAGAAGCCAGTTAGGCAGACAGACTAGGGTGGGTCTCCGGTAGGACTCCATTTTATCTGGAGAAACAGCTGCTAGCTGTAGGCTCCAGACAAGTCACACACATTACTTTTTTGCTCACTTTCTTTTTCACACACCTTTTCTTAATTGGCCCTTTTTCAATCTCCTCCTCTTTGGCCCTTTACACTATCATACCACATTTTAGTCCTTACTACTGACCAATTAAGTTAATGTATTTTCAGTCTCTATTATCAACCAATCAGCACACCCCCAAGTACCATATAGATACTCCAGCCAGGCCTCCGTGGATCTCTGGGCCCCAGCAACCCTCTTGGGGGCTCCACAACCCACTTGGGGGCCCCACAACCCACTTGGGTCCCCTCTCAGCCTCCCTCTTGCTGTCAGAGTTGCTAACATTTGCGTTTCTAAATGAACTCTGACTTACTCGCCCTTTGGTGTCCTTGACCCTTAATTTTCTCAGTCGTGAAACAAGAACCTGGGATTCATCAAGAAAAAGAGAGCTGTAACCTTTCCTGACCAGGAATTTTCCAAGCATAAGCCATAAATAGGAGAGCTAAGAGCTGTAACATTCCTCAGGGCTCCATGGCTATTAGGCACCCCTAGGTCACCTTGTGGGGTTCAGTGCCATTATACCCTTGGACCTGTTCTTGGACCCCATGTGGGTCCCAGGCTGGCAGGGCAGCCCGGTGACTGCAACGCTGTGACCACCAGGAAGACATTCTCAACACCCCACCATATCATCAACAGCCCCCATCCTTCCGTCCACCAAGTTCCCTTAAGAAACTTTATCTTAGCCGGGCTTGGCGACTCAGCCTGTAATCCCGCGCCTTTGGGAGGCTGAGGTGAGTGGATTGCCTGAGCCCGCGGGTTCGAGGCCCGCCTGGGCAGCGAGACCTCATCTCTACAATAAATCAAAAAATCAACTGGGCGTGGTAGTGCATGCCTGTAATTCCGGCTACTTGGAAGGCTGAGGCGGAAGGATCGCCGGAGCCCAGCAGGTCGAGGCTGCGGTGGCCGGGAACGGCCACTGCACTCCAGTCTGGGCGACAGAGTGAGACTCCAACTCAAAAAAAAAAAAAGAAAGAAACTTTATCTTCTGAATTTTCGAGGAAGTAGAACTGAGTAAATATTTCCAGCCCTACTTGCTCAGCTCTTTTGTGATATTAGACCCTTTCTCCATTATAATGGCTGTAGTCAATTTTGGTTTTTCTGGGCAGCAAGCATAGGAATTAAGTTAGGCTGAAACAAATTCAATTGTGATACAGAGTATGGTGAGTGAGCCAGAGAAACCTAAATTTGAGTGTCCACTCAGCTACTTGTCAGGGGTATGACTCCCAACAGGTACCTTAACCTCATTAAGATTCAGTTTTTGGGCAGTAGTGTGACATACCAGGGGAAGTGGGGGGCACATAACACCAATAAGGGAATCCACACTTTACCTGTACAGTGACCACTTATGTACTTAACCCTGAATTGTATCCCACATTTTTAAAATAAAAAATAAGAGAAAAAAAGATTCAGTTTTTGCCTCTTTGAAGTAATGTTAAAATAATTCCTGTTTCTTTGGACTGCAGCTGAGTTTACATTGTAAAGCACTGAACACTGCTCTTACTCCACTAACTCAACACAGTAAAGGTTTATTTCTTCTCATATTGTAATACAATGTGGTGATTTAGTGGTAGTGGGAAAGTAAATATCTTCATCCTTTCTGAAAAACAACTGGACAATATGTACAAATAATTTAAAATTGCTGGCCCAATAATTTCACACTTGTAGGAATTATTTCTTGCCAGATAACCAGAGATACAGATGACAGTTAATGTACATAAATATGTTTTATAACCTATTTATAGCAATGGGTCAATAGGAATGATTTAAGTGTTAATACTGGGGCATGATGGAGAAGAACGGGAATAGGGTGGTGGTGATGATGAGGGCTGTGTTTTTCAACTGCTGAGGTTTACTTTTTTGTGAAAGAAGCTTTATTAGAGTAATGCCCCTGACTTTTCTCTGTCTCTTCGTTTATTCCTCACCACGCTTCCATGGTATAAATTTGATATCAGTGACTGAGTTTGTATATTCCCCAAACTTCTTCCCATCTAAGAAATAGGCAACCCACTAAATTACTCTCGACTGCTTTATGCCATGTGGGATAAGTTTAGCAGTCAAATCTCTGTCTCTATGGGCGCAGGCCATCATGTTCTGTAATTGGGTAGGTAAGCTAGCCTAATGCTGGGGCTCATCATTAGATTGTCCTCTCACCCACCAACATAAGCTACTTTATTCAATACCACTGACTTACAAAGAAGGTATGTTAATCTGTAAGATACCTTAATCTTTTGTATACTCCGCAATTAGTTTAGAATTTGGGCAATAAAAAAAGTAAGTTACTCTTTGGGCATGGGTTTAGGAATAAGAGCTTTCTGGGGATAAATCTTGTGTTTGCAGTTGTCCCAGTTGAACTCTCAAAGGAAGAGATCTAAAATTTGGACCTGTGGAATAACCTCATGAAAGTGGGAGTAGAAATGTTTTTTAAAGATTGCTCCTTTCCTTTCTCCCATGGAGACAGCCACAGATCCCTCTCCTGGGAGTCAGACAGCCCACAAAGAACACATGCTCTGAACTGCTCTTGGACATATCCCATCATGGAGTGGAAACACTGGTAGACTAAGACTTCCAGTGATGGGATAAACAGGTCTGCCTGATTCCTAGATTTAGTGTTCAGAGGCCCATAGAAATTGATTCAATCCTCTCAAATACCAGGATTTTATCGTTTATAAAGGTAGTATTTTGGTCTCCTGCTTTCTTATTTAGTTTTATTTTCTCAGTTAATTCAGAACTTAGACTGAAAAAAGGGGGATCTATTCTTATGCTATTATTTCCAGTATTTGTCTTCAACTTTGTGCTTGGACACCTTCATGTTAAAGATCATTTAGTCATGAGATAGCCAGTCCCATAGTGACTATAGGAAATTAATTCCTTTTGTTTATCAAATTATTTCTACATATATTTTCCAATTATAATTCTGGCAACTCAAAGAGTAAGTCTTCTCTGTTTTCCTTATGAAAATCTTTAAGAGATTTGAGATTGTAAGTATACTCCACCAACTTCTCTAACTATATCTCTAGTTACTTAAACTTTATACATTTTTTGACCTTTCCTCTTTAGAAGGTGATATACATCAAAGATAATTATTTTATAGTTACATACTTTGGTAATATATGGAAAAACATTTTAATGATCTCTGTTTAGCTTTTGGAAATGAGACTCTTGGAAGGGTAATTCAAGCTGAGGGGTATAAAGTGTGTTTCCTGCACCATTTAAAATTCTAGGCTCTTCCAGCTCTCAGAATCTGTGGATCCAAGGCAATTCAACTTTATTTTTTTCCCAATCAACCTAGTGTTGCCAGAGTTACTTCTGTACAAACCCCAAATCCTCAGAATTCCCAGTAATCCTAAAGCCTCTTTCAAGTCTCTCCAGTCAGATTAATTTTGTGCTAGATTAGGTGATGAGTACTAGAAAAGGAAACTCCTCTGAACCCTGATCAATCTAAATTCAATCTCACTATTACCTGCCACCACTTGCAAACCGAATTCACAACCTGAGCCCTATCTAGGTTGAGTGGGCAATGACTCCTGTTTTTTCATACTGTTGCTCTTCTGCTGCTGAAACCCCACATTCCTGTGTTCCTCTTTGTAAATTCCAACTTTCTCTGTTTTAAGGTATAGATCTCAATGTCTTTATATTTGGATGTCAACAAGTGTTCAATTCCTGTGTTTCGCGGTCTTTTCTGCAGCTCTATTTGGTGTATATCAGTTATTCCAGAGCACAGGTAAATGGAATTAGTACTGGTGGATTTCACCTTGGATGTTCTCCTTTTCCTAGAAATTTTTGTCCTGGAGTTATTTAGCCAAATATGACTGTTTCATCATCTCCAGGAAGATCATTGGTTTGGATAACATCTCAGAGGACAAAATTTCAACATTCAGATTATTGTGGGTGTCAAGGACTAAAGCTGCTATATCTGCTGCCAGCATTTTCAACTGTACTGAGCAACAGAGTTTCTTCTGCTACAAGAACAAAGAAACATGCTGGTTTCAGAAAACATGATCGACTTTAGTCACTCATTTACTTTAAAAATGTACTGGGTCCACTTATTTGTTGGTATACATTCATAACCCTAGGCCAATATTTATTGTCTGTTTGAGCAAATAATATCAAATACAAGTGTTTTCCACGCTATTTTGATACAATCATCCCTTTATATTCTTAGAAACACACCTGAAAATTCAACCAATCTTGGATCAAAAATATTCTAAAGAAAAAACAGAACAGAACTAACCAAAAGCAAATAAAAATACAATGTAACAACAATTTATAAAATATTTATATTGCATTAGGCATTATAAGTAATCTAAAGATGATTTAATGTATACAGGAAGATATGTATCATTTGTATGAAAATACCATGCCAAAAAGACCTGAACATCTGCAGACTTTAGCATCCATGGGAAGGTCCTGCAACTGATCTCCCTATAGATACAAAGAACAACTATATCAACCTGTGTTCTAAAATTTGCATATAATTTAAGGAGGTTTATGTAATATTTAAATTTTTTCTTGAACTTATTATCTATGAAATATGGTCATTATTTTTTAAAAAGTGAAATTGATGAATTAATATAATAATATTAAAATATGATTTTGGTAATTGACAATTCTTCATTATTAAGAAGTTTATAAGGAAAATGTATATACAGAACAATTACTACTAATAAAAGCAAAAAATTATTTACTTTATTTGAGACATGGCTTACAAGCCATAAAAAGAGAATTTTAGAGAATTAGTGTTGCCATCAATAGGGCTCTCTCTGCTCCCTCACTTCCCATCCTCTTGCTAGATAGTTCTAGAACTCCAACATGCATAAATCTTTATTTCCACTATTTTTACTGAATTGCAAAGCCCTGTCTCACAATTTATCAAACCAATGAATAAAGATGCCATATTTCAAAAGAAAATTATTTTGTTTGTATTAGCAAGTCAAGCGCCTGAATACAATATGGGGAAAAAATAGAACACCTAAGCAAACTCCCCTGGACACCATTTGAAATAAGTCTCTGTGCACTCCTGAAGTTTCTGTAGGCACAGCTTGAGGAGCCAGCAGACCAGGATACAGTTTACCTCGGCCATTGGAACTGTTTGAGGCTAACATAAGTTACTCTGATTGTCAAGGGTTTTTAAAGTATGATGACTAGCTAGCTGGGTTCAGCAATTTATTTTGAATGAATACTAAGGAGTTAAGCTGTACCATGTGTTAGGTGTATTTTACCATTATATGCAATTGCTAAAGCAACTTCCACATCACCAGCAGTGATTGCTTATGCCTCATGTTTTCCAACATTTGGTTCTATCAGTCTTTCTAAATATAGCTATTCTAGTGTAAGGATTTCTTATCTTACTTTTAATTTGCTTTTCCTGGTTTTTTTTTTTTTTAATAAATGGAGTCATACAATATTTGTTCTTTTTTTTACTGGCTTCTTTTACTTAGCATAATGTTTTAAATGACCATTTGTGTTGTAACATGCATCAGTTCTTTATTGTCATTTTATTGATGAATAATATTCCAACATATGAATATGGAACTTTTTTATTCTTTCTTCAATTAGCATACATTAGATTGTTTCCACTTCAGGCTACTACTAATCATTCTACTATGAACATTTATGTACAAGTTTTTGTGTGGATACATTTCTTTTTGAGTGTATGAGAAAGCAGGATTTATTGAGAGAACAGAAAAGCTCCCACATTGGAAGGGGACCTAAAGGGTTTGTCCCCTTTCTTTCATTTCTTTTAGGTACATCCCTAAGAATACAACTGCTGTATTATGTAACTATATTTCACATTTTTGGAAACTAACAAATTGCTTTCAAATTGACTTTACCACTTTAAATGTTCACAAGAAATGTATGAGAGTTCCAATTCCTATATGTTCTGCCAATACTAGTTATTCTCTTATCTTTTTTAAAAGTCATTTTGGAGTGTGTGAAGTGATAGCACATTGTAGTTTTTATTTTTATTTTCCTAATAAGTAAGTATATTGATAATTTTTTCTTGTTTTTTTTTTTTAAATAAATTTGAAGTTTGGTTCGAGATAGGTGTTCAAATGTCTTGTTTTCTTTTGTTTTTTGAATGTGGATATCCATTTGTGCCAGAACTATTTTATATTTTAACTGACTTTTTAGTTCCCCATTGAATTGTCCTGGCATTCTTTGTCACAACTCAATTGACCATAAACTTAAATGTGTACTACAGGACTCTCAATTTTATTGCATTAATCTATGTATCTATACTAATGCCAGTACAACGCTGTGTTGAACATTGCAACTGTTATAGTAAGTTTTACAATCAGAAACACTAAGTCATCTCAATTTCTTGTTCCTTTTCAACATTTTTGGTCTATTCTGGATCCATTTGAATTTTAGCATAGAATTGACAATTACTGCAAAAACTAGTTGGCATTTTTACAGGGATCTCACTGAATCTGTAAATCAGTATTGATAGCATTGCTATGTTAATTCATATTAAGTCTTTGATTCAATGAACCTGGGTTGCCTCTCCAGTCATTTATTTTATTTAATTACTTTCAACAGTATTTCATAGTTTACAGTGTACAAGTCTGAAATGTTTGTTATTTATTGGAATTTTATTCTTTCTCATGCTACTGTAAGTGGTATCGTTTGCTTAATTTTATATTCAGATAGATAATTGCTAAAGTATGGAAGTACATCTGATTTTTATACATTGATCGTGGATCCTGATACCTTACTGAATTCATTTATTAGTTATTTCTTCTAATAGTTTTCATGTGGATTTCTTAGGATTCTATAAACATATCAATGTCTTATGAAAACTGAAATAGACTTTCTTTCTTTTTTTTTTTTTTTTGAGTTGGAGTCTCACTCTGTCGCCCAGACTGGAGTGCAGTGGCCACTCCCAGCCACCGCAGCCTCGACCTGCTGGGCTCCGGCGATCCTTCCACCTCAGGCTTCCGAGTAGCCAGAATTACAGGCATGTGCTACCACGCCTGGCTGATTTTTTGATTTATTGTAGAGATGAGGTCTCACCAAATTGCCCAGGCGGGTCTCGAACCTCTGGGCTCAGGCAATCCACTCACCTCAGCCTCCCAAAGGCATGGGATTACAGGCTGAGTCACCGAGCCCAGTGACTTTCTTTCTAATCGATTGTGGTATGATTGACATGCAAAGAATTGTACAGGATGAGAGTGGTGGCTCAAGCCTGTAATTCCAGCACTTTGGGAGGCTGAGGCAAGAGGATTGCCTGAGCCGTGGTTTGAGATCAGCCTGGGCGATATGGTGAGACATCATCTCTACAATTAAAAAAAAAAAAATTAGACAGGCATGGTGGTGACTGTCTGTAGTTCTGGCTACTTGGAAGACTGAGGCAGAAGGATCCCTGGAGTCCAGCGGATTGATGCTGGGGTGGCTGTGAGTGTGTCACTGCACTCCAACCTGGATGATAGAGTGAGACTCCAACTAAAAAAAAAAAGTACATATTTAATGTATACAGCTTGGGAGTAGACTTGGAGATAGGTATATACCTGTGAAACCATTACCACAATCTGTGCCATAAATCTACCAATAACCCCCAAAAGTTTTCTCCTGCCTTCTTATTTATTATTATTCTTTCTTTCTGGTAAGAAGACTTAACTCCCTATTATACTTTTAAGTATAAAATATAATAGTATTGACTATAAACAGCATGCTGTAAACTAGAAATCTAGGACTTATTTTTCTTATGTAACTGAAATTTGTACTGACTGATACCTACTTGTTTTTCCCTCCCTCAGCTCCTGAAAACCACCATTTCACTCTCTGCTTCTATGAGTTTCCCTTTATAAGTGGTATCATGCACTATTTGTTCCTCTGTATCTGACTTTTTTCACCTAGTGAAAGAAGTCGGCGCCAGTAACAACTCCTCACCCGTTTAAGGCCAAGAGATTTATTAAAGCGGCGGTTACAAGGGAAAAAGGGAAAGGGTCTGTGGAGAGAGAGAGAGAGAGAGGAAGTGGGAGGGAGGTGGGGAGAGAGGTGGGGAGAGAGCTGCAGAGAGGCAGAGAGGGAGAGAGCAACAGAGAGAGAGAGAAAGAGAGACCAAGAGAGAGTTGCAGGGAGTAGGCTGTATTTATTAGCCTGACAGGGGCCGGAAGGGGCCATGCTATGTTTCTATTGGAGGAGCTGCTTGGGAGTAGGGTGGGGCCGATGCCGTGTTATTGTCCTATTGGACGCATATCAAAGCTGGCTAAGGATTGGAAGCTTGCAGGTTTGAAATTCGTGTGCACGGGAAATTGTGCTCACAGAAACCGGGACCTAGGGCCTTTGTTGTCTGGTGTGTCCTCACCATGCTCGGTCCTATTTTGGGAGCCGTCCCTCTGGTCGCTTCCTGCACCCTTCATTCCCACCTTTTCTGTTCTTATGGGGAGGGGCGTCGTTACTCTTTCTGGCTACTTCCTGCTGGTCAGGGGCGTTGTGG